ATATAAAGTTCACCAAAAAAAATTTTTTTAAACATCTATTATAACTTGGTTAACTTTATTGTTCTACCTAGGGAATCAACAACAACAAAACTATTTTAAAAATTGTTTGAACTGAGCCAAGTATAGAAATGAACTCTCAATTTCTCCATCTGCCTAAAAATAGTATTTTTAATTCAAAATATTTGTAATATTTATAACAGAATATAATGCAGCAAAGCTTCTTGAAGTTATCTCCCAAATTCAAAAGCACTTGAATATTATGTCTAGGAAAACAATCAGGTACAAAGATGCTGATTAGATTAGAGCAGATTATATTATATTTGATTTGATTTGACTTGATTTGATTTGATTTAGGAGCATAGTAGAATTTTCAGGTTCACCAGAAATATGTAAACTCCAACAGAGCCAATATTTCCAGAATGACACCTTTCTTTACGAAACAAAAATCTCCAAGCTTTGTATAATTTTGTTCTTATGGAATTGATCCTGCTATTCTCCCATGGTTAAACCAAGGGAGAAAGAACAATTTTATACAATATATAGTAATATTTCTGTCATATACATAATATAGTATATAATAAGCACTTCTCTTTCAGCATTTCATGGTTTCTTACAACCCCATGAGCAAGGTAGTACTGCTATCATTATTTCAAAGAGGAGACAACGGAGGCATAAGTGAAGGAGCCAGATTGAGACCCAAGTACACTGGCTCCAGAGCTCATGTTCATTATGGTTGGTATATGGAATGGTGCCCACATGGGTAAACACACTGGCTTCCACATCTATTAAAAGACTTCAACTGTGATGCTTCTGCTGGCTCAAAAGACCTCAGCCAATGCATTTTGCATGCAGTCCTAATTGGTTGTCTCCACAGTTTTCTTTCTGACACACTGAGAAAGTTATAATTTATCCCTAAATGTACTTCTGCTCTAGTGTGAATTTTCAGAAGGAAAATATAATATACAATTTCACAAATTTATTTGACCACAGATGAGACATCTTTTAATTTATTTTATTTATTTATTTATTTTGAGAGAGAAAGAGGTGGGGAAGGGCAGAGAGAGAGAATCCCAAACAGGCTCTGAATTGACAGTGCAGGGCTGGAACTTCACAAACCACGAGATCATGACCTGAGCCAAGATCAAGAGTCAGATGCTCAACCGACTGAGCCACCCACATGCCCCCAGATGGGACATTTTTACTCCCAATCTCAAAAGACAGGTGGTTCATGGAACAAATGTCGAGAAATATTAAAATAAGTGTCAAACTGTGTCATAGCCTGTTTTATGCTACAAGGGGACAAAAGACTCAATGGAAAGAATTTGAATTTCTTGTGGGGAGCTACAGTCCTTCTGATGACCAGCTCTCAATCAGTTGCATTATGAATCTATTGATACAACATACAAAGCTCCAATGGACTGCCAAGAATGGTTGATTCATCTAATCATTCATAACATTTTTAGTGTAGAACAATTAAGAATAGAACTGTTCAATCAAGGCATTGCTTCAAACAATACCAATCTAAGACAACCTTCAAGAAAAAAATCAACATATGCATGCATTCACCAGCCGGCTTTTGTTGACCTGACCCCAGACATAATTAATTCTAATGTGGGTGAAGTCTTTCTAAACACCAAGGAGTTGAATGGTCTGAACAGTCTTCTTTCTTTCCCTTTTTCACTTTTTCCCATCTAATCTGCTTGTACCCAGAGAACACAGTAAGTTTATGGTTTCTTTTGTCTGTCCTCATTTAAGATTGCCATCAAGGAAGGGCTCCACCAAACCCTGAAGTTAACTTTTTTCCAATCCTCCACTCTCAACATCTTTTTATCCTTCTTTGCTACTAACCACACTCTACACATATTCATTTGAACTGAACAAGCTCCTACACATTAAACACATTTTTTCATATCTCTGTGATCATGGAACTCTGCACAATGCCTATTGATATTTCCCTAACTCATGCTCAGCAGACATATTATGGGAATAGTGAATGAAACCAGGAACCCAGCCAAGGAAGAGAAGAGCCTTCTGAGAAACCAGGAATGACTCATGACTTACCTTCCCCACCCTGGAAAAAGAATTTTATAAACCCCAACTCTCATTCAGGTAAAATTGTCAAGAAAAGGAAGAAGTTTTGGGGGTGGAGATGCAGTGGAATTTCTTAGTAAAATCATTGCCACTGTTGGCAACTGACTATTCTATCTCTACCCATAGACCATCCTGTTGAAAATAGCATTTAAAAAATGTTTGGAAAGGTAGGGGATGAGGAGCTATTCACAAGCGTCTCCACAAAGAAAAGAATTCCATTTCATTGTACAGTATTTTCTATGTAGTAGCCAGGCTGAGAATTGATCTATTTTGTAGCCTTTCTCTAGCAACCAGTTCCACTCAGCTCACTTCCTATGAGTACTTGTTACATTTCTGATTTTCTTCCATCTCCATATATTAGGACACCTCCAACGCTTGGAAACTTTTTGAAAGGCCCTCAGTCCTCAAGCTACCATGCCCTAAAAATAAGAAGCTATTTCCTTGCCTTACCTCATGAGTGGGTAATGGAAGTCTTACATCAGCCAGATTTTCCTTATTGCTTTCCTGGAATAAGCTGGCAACTGTGTTCCATTAATTCATAGCATTGGGCAATTTTAATTCTCCCAAAGTACTAATCATTAAGAATTTTCATTTAAATATCTCCACAACTTTTATGCAAATAAATCCCCAGCAGCCAATAAATGAATTAGAATTGGATTTCCTTTTCTATACTGTGGTGAGTGGCAACTTGGGAAAGAAATGCACCTCATGTTCTCTAGAATAAAAAACAGTCCAAGTTGCAAAAATTAAACCTTAAAAAGGAAATGTTAGAAATAATCCAGAGAAAATGTATATAGACACCCAAATGACTCTTTGACTACCTGAGGCACTTAATAAAAGCAAGGGATAAAATAATCCTATAAAGGGAATGAATTTATTCTTCATTAAATATACTGCCTCTCTCTCTCTCTCTTTTTTTTTTTTTTTTTTTGCAGATAGGGATAAATTAAAAAAAAAAGGCAACCAAAAAAAAAAAAAAAAGTAACGCTTCCAATTGATCATAGAATTAGGTCACTAAAAACCATGAATCTGAGCCACAGCTCTAAAGATTTTGTATCTTACTGGTTCTAGGAAAGATCTAAAAGTTTCTCTACAGCTAATCATTTCATCAAGTTAGCTCTGCTTTTTGCTATTTTGAACCTGAGCTGGTCAAATCTAACTGATTCTACTGGAATGCTAAGGGATTATTTGGGGGCTCAGATATTTTAAGATGGCCTGTCCCTGAAATTTAAGTAATTCTGTGGTGCCTTTTTACTGCTGCCAGTCTCAGTGTGATTTAACCTCTCTCAACCTCACTTTACTTGTCTTTAAGATGTAGATAGGGGGTGCCTGGGTGGCTTGGTAGGTTTAGTGTTGGACTTCAGCTCAGGTCATCATCTCTTGGTATGGGAATTCGAGCCTTGCGTCAGGCTCTGTGCTGACAGCTCAGAGCTTGGAGTCTGCTTCAGATTCTGTCTCCTTTTCTCTTTTTGCCCCTCTGCTGCCCATGCTCTTTCTGCCAAAAATAAATAAATACAAAAAAAAAAAAACAGGTCACGTGGGTGGCTCAGTCAGTTAAAGTGTCTGCCTTCGGCTTAGGTCATGATCTCACGGTTGGTGGGATGGAGCCCCACATGGGGCTCTGTGCTGACAGCTCAGAGTCTGGAGCCTGCTTTGGATTCTCTGTCTCTTGTTCTCTCTCTGCCCCACCCCACTTGTGCTCTGTCTCTCAAATATAAACATTTAAGAAAAATTAAAAAAAACAACAGAAAACAAAAAAAAATGTAGATAATCATAGTACCCACTACATTAAGCTGCTGAGAGAATTAGATGACATAATGTATGAAAGTGTTTATATGAGAGTTTAACACATGGCTACTCAATACATGTTGGCTATTGTAATCTTTTCTGATATTAGTTATAATTTGGCAGAACTGTCTCCTGGAACTTGAATTAATATAATTACTCAGGGGACCACATGTCTTGAAAGCAAAGTTCATTAAATGCTTCATGAGAAACCTGTGGATTTACACCTTGTTCAATGGCAAACAACAGCCCTGCTCGCTCCTGAGACACTGAGAGCTTCCGGGCAGCCAGGACCTGAAGCCAGTGCTGCAGAGAAAAAAGGATGCTCTCTAGCCACCTGGGAGCACCCCTCAGCCCTGGGCATTTGTACAAGGCCTTGAATACAGTCAACGTCTCAACTGGGAGTATGTGTGCCTGACACAAACAGCTGGTGGTCAATCTGCCACTCTGTGAGTTAGAGGTCTGTGATACTGCAGAGATAGGAGCCTCTTATACAAGATACCTATTATCAGATAATAACATCTCTTAAAAATGAAAGGGAAAGCCTATACAATAGTGCAGAGTGTAAGAGTGTAGTAAGCCCAGCAATTACATGAAACAGTTTGCAAGGTCATCCAGCAAAATTTGAAGGTGCTCCTGTAATGGAAATTTTGAGGATAAACCTTTACAAATTACCATAGCATACATGTCTGCAGTTACTGCCATTTACCTTAGCCTCATGTGATAATGACTAGCCCAAAGACAGCAAAACTCTGTATTGATGAATTAAAAAGCTAACTGTGTTTACTTAAGAAAAATATGGACAACTAATTACTTGCTTGAGCGTTGGGTCGCTCAATGACCAATAATCAGAAATACAAAATTCTATGAAATCATTAGTGTGTAAATGAATACATGATCGTTCTTGAAGGCAGAAGATATTCTCTGTTAGACATTGGTCAATGCTCAGAGTTCACATGAAATTTGTCATGAAAGGTAACAACCATTTTGGTAAAGATTTCTATTTATATGACAAAATTATAACTCAAAAAACTCATGATTTTAGTCATTTAAAAAATCTTTAAATGCACATACAAACATGCCTATATGAACACACACATACTTGAGTCAAAGAGAACACTTACTGTCACTTCATTCATACTCAGAAGTGTGGGACTGGGTGGCAGGGTGCCAAGACGGTACTTAAAGCCTTCTTCTAAAGTCATTCCCCAGAATTGGCTGTAGTTCTGGGCTGTCCATCTGCCTTCCAAATGAAAGAGAAAAATTGGTACAGGTTATGTAATAGCACTTTTATAAATACATGTTTGTTTATGTTTTTGAAATGATACAAAATCAGAACGATTACTGTAAGCTAGATATTCCTTATATAAAGAATGTATTATTGCCTTCCCTTATAGTAAAACATATGAGACACTTCTTAAATTAGGTCTATATCAATGATTTTAATAACTTATATGAGGAACCTAAGGCTATGTCAATATATGCTAAATTTAAGAATATGAATATTTACATATTATAGGGTATTAAGAGGCAAAAAGGACAACATATACATTTTCACTTAAATGTCATAAAGTGAATTTTAGAAAGAAATTTGAAGGGTGCCTGGGTGGCTCAGTCAGTTAGGCTTCTAACTCTTGATTTCGGCTCAGGTCAGGATTTGGCCGTTCATGGGATCAGATCAAGCTCTGTGCTGGCGCCATGGAGCCTGCTTAGGATTCTCTCTTTCTCTTGGTCACCATCCCCTCTCTCTCAAAATAAATAAATAAGCATTAAAATAAAGAAAGAGGCTTGTATGTACAGAAATGTAGTTATAGGTTATACAGGGTAATTGTTTTATACTTACTTTATGTTTAAAAATAATTTCCTTTTACATGTAAAAGGAAGTATCCATGAAAACTTGAGGCTAAAATAGTTATACTTAAAAATATACATCAGTGCTGATTAATTTTATTAATATTTTGTTTAAACACTGAAATATTCTATCATATATTGAAGAATTAATTTGTATAAGTGCCCAATAATCTTAGTTATTATTAATGAAGATATAAATTCAATTGATGTGAAATTAGGTAGCAGAAAGTACTTATATTTTTAGTTTGTGCCCTTTTGTAGGAAAAGAAGCTTTGTTTTCAAAATCTAACAATGAAATTTAAATTCAAAAAATTTCTTTTTAAAAATTTTTTTATTTTTATTTTCTAAGAGAGAAAGAGACAGAGCATGAGCAGGGGAGGGACAGAGAAAGAGGGAGACACAGAATCCAAAGCAGGGTCTAGGCTCTGAGCTGTCAGCACAGAGCCCTGTGCAGAGCCAAACTCATGAACTGTGAGGTCAGGACCTGAGCCAAAGTTGGCTGCTTAACCAACTGAGCCACCTAGGTGCCTCTCAACAAAAAATTTCTTAAAGGATGAAAGGACATAAGAACGATGATAGCAATTTAATCATTGCTTGTTTGAATTATTTACCACTTGAGGACAATATATTTTCAGTACTTAAATCAAACTAAATTCAATTTTATTGTGTTAGTTACCAAAGTTGCTTATAATGTGATAGGCTATCATGAATGATGGAAAGTACAACTCAATTTTCAAGAATATGTCTAGCAAGTTCATGCTTCTTTAAAATAAAATCTGTTACTTCATAAAACCTTAAGCAACTTTGAGCCACAAGCTTATTTATTTTTTATTTTTTCCAATTTTTATTTAGATTATAGCCAACATATTGTATAATATTGGTTTCAGGAGTAGGATTTAATGACTCATTACTTACATTTTACACCCAGTGCTCATCGCAAGTGCCCTCCTTAATGCCCGTCACCCATTTAGCTCATCTACCAACCCTCTCCTTCTGTCAATCCTGTTTCTTCTCTTTCATTAAGAGTCTTTTATAGTTTGTTCCCCTCTCTCTTTTTTTTGCCTCCCTCCCCATATGTTCATCTGTTTTGTCTCTTAAACTCCAGATATGAGTGAAATGATATGGTATCTGTCTTTCTCTAACTTACTTATTTTTGCCTGGCATAATACTCTAGCTCCATCCATGCTGTTGCAAATGGCAAGATTTCATTCTTTTTGATGGTGGTATTCCATTGTATATACGTATCACATTTTCTTTACCTATTCATTAGCCTATGGACAGTTGGTAAGCCACAATTTTAGAGTGCAGTCTCCATCACCCAAGGAAACATCTGACTATGTTAGATATTGCCCCACTTTAAAGAGACTATTAAGAACAGCCATAGGCAAAATCATGACATCAGTAAAGTATGTTTTTGGTGCCTTACAACTGGTAGTTCCCAAATATTCAGATACACTTTTGGTCATTTAATTAATTATTCAATTTAGTGAGCAATTTAAAAAAATAGAATTAAAAAATAAAATACAAGAGACATAATAGGAAGATTTAGAGTTTATTGCATATAGTGAGAGTAAGTACTGTTTTTATATATGTAGGTGTTTGTATATAGCATTTATTTGTACAGGTATGCATGTGCATATGTGTGTATGTCAAATCACAAAGTTAAATGTACATCTTACTATGACTTATACTCAAAACAGTGTAAAAAGACTACTATTCTATTCCAACCTATTTGATAGACTCACAACTTTCCCTTCAGTCCAATTTAGCATTTACTGAACATTCTTAATTTATCTTATTCTCTCTTAAAGCTTAGTAATAAGTAAATTTCTCTCCAGGAGCTCAGACCCTAAAAAGACTGCAAAGATAGAAATGACTTCAGTATGTGTCATTTATTAGCAGTAGGTCAAGGTATGATCAGAGTAGAGGATTCAAATACAACTCTGCCTGAAGGAATTGGTATAATTTTTTTTATTTACAAAAAGTGACTTGATGCTCAGTCTGGAAGGATAAGAATGAGTTCGGTGGGCAGATGTCAAAGAAGAGAACATTTATTCTTTAAAAAAAAAAAAAAGCAACTCAGGAGCAAAGTATACAGGTTTGAAACTGGGTAGCACATTTAGGGAAGATCAGTTAATTCAATGCTAAACCTATAAAAGGGCCTAGGGAGACAGAAATGGGGAAGAGTGTAAAAAATAAGATAGTAAAGCAGTATTTGGGCCAGAGTGTTACTTTTGCCAAGGGGCATAATGATATTCTACAAGCAATGGAGTATCACTGATATTTTTTTTAAATGTGAATAGCAGAATCAAAGCTTTGATTTAGAGGGATAACCATGAAAGTATGAAGGATTGGTTTCAGTTTTATCAGACTAGAAACAGAAAAATCAGGTCATCTCAAATGAGGCTTGATAAAGAATTGCACTAAAGGGGAGCTTGGGTGGCTCATTCAGTTAAATATTCAACTCTTGATTTTGGCTCGGGTGATGATCTCACAGTTCATGGATTTGAGCCCCACGTTGGGCTCTGCACTGATAGCAAGGAGCCTCCTCGTGCTCTCTCTCTTGCTCTCTCAAAATAAATAAACTTTAAAAAATTTAGCTACATAAAAAAATACACTAGAATATAGCAGACAGGTAGAGAGTATAAATACCCAAAAGAAACCGTGAATGTGGGAATTATGAGAGACTACTGACTGAGAGTGAAGAGGAAAAAAGAATCAAACTAATTTCTGATTTTTCTGGCTTGGCTGATAAGGCAGAGGGGAAAGCTGGTCACCAACAACAGGTGGAAGTGGTAAACCCTTTTGGTTTGGGGTATGTTGATTTGAGAAATCATTGAAAAATCAAAGCCAACTTATCCAATAAACTAGATTTTCAGTTCATAAAAAAAAAATCAAGTTTAGAGATGTGGAAGATTATAAAGGGCCACAAATTATTTGTGGCTGTTTGCACCAAGACGTGGAATCTATTTCCCCAGCCTTTGAATGTGGGCAGGCGGAGGGACAGGCTGTGCCCAACAGAGGGCAAGAGGGTTGATGCTGCACAACTTGCAGGCTTAGGTCTGAAGAGACTCAGCTTCCTCTCGTGCCCCATTTGAACCCTGTATGCAGAGAGGCTAAGGCTGGCCTACGAGAGACATACAGGCCCCCCAACAGCCAGCACCAACCACCAGGCATGTGAATGAGTCCACCTTTGACAACTGGGCCCCAGTTGAGGCTCCAGATGTCTATAGACATACGAATAACCCCAGCAGAGATCAGGAGAAGAGCCTCAGCGAAGTCCAGCCCACGTTGCTGAAGTGAACAAATGAAAAGCTCATGGTTTTAAGCTGTTAAATCCTGGAGTGGTTTGCTGCACAACATCAGGTAATTGAAACAGTTATCTATCTCCCTTTGTTCCACTAACTTGCTGATTATTACTCCTGCTACTAATTTGGCACTTAAATACCGCCCTATCACTAGGAATCCTTTCACAAACTGATAACATGTTGACTCCTCAGCTAGACTAAATTCTTGTAAGACAGAAATTATTTATATCAATAGCAGTGCCCCAAGAGAAACACATGTTTTGCTAATATTAATGGATTGCATTAAAAATATAACACAGGGAATAAATATGCACTGAAGGAGCTTATGTGGAATGAATAAAGACTTGGATCTAAAACTCCACCAAGATGAGAAAAGCAAAGGGAGTATATATTTGCAGGTAGGCTATTTAAAAACCATTTAGTAAGTGTTGAAAGACAGGAGTCTCTTTTCACACATGGAAACAATTTGAACATCAGGAATAGAAAAAATCTGAGTGCCAGAATTTTTAAAAAATATTTATATATTTTTGAGAGAATGAGCGGGGGAGGGGTAGAGAAAAGGAGACAGACACAGAATCCAAAGCAGGCTTCAGGCTCAGAACTGTCAGCACAGAGCCCGACATGGGGCTCAAACTCATGAACTATGAGATCATGATCTGAAACAAAGTCTGACACATAACCAACTGAGCCAGTGAGGTGACCCCAAATGCCAGAACTTTTAAATTCAAGGACTCCCCTTGCCTTTTTTTTCCTCTGGTAATTTAGTTTTACTCCTTTTCTTCACAGCTTGTCTCTTTTACTCAACTTTTTTTCTGTGGGCAATGAATGTTTCCTTTTACTCCAGTTGTACTTTACTTTTTGTCCTTTTAAGGTCACCTGTGTTTGGTACAAAAGGGAAGTCATGCCTCCTAACTTGTCCTAGAGTTATCTCACAGTGAACAAATGATAGAAAGAAAAAGAATTTTCTTCCTACCAGCTTCCATATCTTATGTGTGTTTTCCATGTTGCATTTGACTGTGGTTCCCAATGGGTTCTGTGACAGTAGAGAGGCAAGCTGCTGCTGATGGCTTCTTGGAAATACGTGCTCAATAGGTCAAGTATTTGAATTATTTTAAGAAGCTGATTCAGATCATTTCTAATGATGACACACGCTCTTATGTTCCTTTAATGATTTAAGTATCACTTAGCCACAGAAAATTATATCTTCCCTAGAAATACTTAAAATGTATTATCACCTAAAATATTGATTAAACACGTACACACACAGGAATTAAGCATGGTTGAAGAGTAATAACATCAGAAAAATATAACTTTCTAAATCTCATGTCTTCCAAGAAAATATTTTGGGTACATTGAAATTCAGTGTCATCATTGTGCTGGGAAATATCTATCCTATGATCTCATACGGGGCAGCAATTGACACTTCTGATTTTTAAAATTATATTTCAAAATTTCATCATTTTTATAGTTACTTGATAATAGATCTTCTTATGTGAAATCCTTCCCAAAGTGTGAGAAATGTTACCAAGGGAATATAGAGATTTGACCAATGGCAACGGAGAAATCCTGAGGCAGCTACCAGTCTATCTCTCTTCCTTTTAGCTGAGTAAAAAAAACCAGTTGTTAACACTGACATCATAATTCCCTCTATGTAAACAGAGAAGCTACCTAATTTATTAATCTTTCAGAGGGCATCAAACCATTATTTCCTAGGTTTAAGTTGTCAGTGAGCCTTATGTTTAGTTTATTAGCAAAGTGAAGTGGCTCGACCAGTCTTGTGATTCAACCGTAAGTGAAACAGGCTACATAGGTCATGTCAGTGAAATTGTCTAGATGGACTGGTTATTTGGGGAATCATCAAGATTAAATATTGACCTCTTAGGTTCTGATTCTCCCAGGTTGATTGGCTGGGTCAGGGCAGCAGCCGAGAGAGAAATATGGTTTATAAGAATAAGTCAATTTTTTGCCTACTTCCTAATTTTACCTAAATACTTATCCAAACTAAAGCTTCCTCTGCTCCCCTCACTCACACCATGACACTGCTCCTTCCAAGACAATTTAAGACCCAGTTCTATATTTCTCTTTGTGTTTGAATTTTTAATTATTTAAGATTTACCTACATTCATTCCAATCTTACATGTCTATTTCTTTTCCCATTTCTCTCCCACTCTTTCTTTTGAAATAATGACCATTTTTAGAAGCCAATGATAGGAAATACATTGTTTGAAACCTGAGAAGTAACTGGACCTGCCAACAAGTCTAGAAAGCAAGATTTTTCTCACCCATAGTCTCCTTTATTGACACGTTCAATTAGTTCTGGTTGAACAAGGCATATGAGCTGGGAACATTTCCATTGCTGTCCTGAGCATGTGCTGCAAAGATACAAAAGTTACAGAAGTGGCCTAGCCTCTATGGAGTACATTTATAAAATGAGTAACCAGAATTGCACATTGTTAAGGTATAAAACTTTTTTTTTTTAACTAATGATAGCCTTATGCCTATTTGATTCTTGGCAAAAATAAAATAATAACATATGCATTAGCTACCACTCAATATGCTCTTAACTTCTACCCTAGGCAGTTAATGAATGAAATGACCACAAAATCAATGAATTTTGAAAACACAAGATAATTTAGACAGTAGATTCAGTGTATATGTATTTGGAAACTTTCTGTGGGATCATCATTACAAGGCAGCCTGTTTTTATATATTGTTACTGTGATCAAAGAAAACACTATTGGCCTCTAGCATATCTTGCCTGAAGAATGCTTATAATTAAAAGGTAAATTCTAGGCAGGCCTGCTGTATAAAAAAGGCCACTGTCATGAACAACAAATTAAGGCATTCAAAGACTTATCTATGGTTAGATTTCTCAACACTCCTTTAAATGAAATATGCTTATATAAAGCTACAGATATGTGATATCCTAGGACTTATGATTCAATCTGTATTTAAATATTTATTTAATTTCACAATACTCCTTGTATTTCAAGACAACATACACATACAGTAGAACTCAGTTGTTTGCCACTTAAATTCATTACCAGGAATTGCAGTTTTCCTTAATTACTGATCCTTCTTCATAAGGTTGGCCATCTCTGAGACAACCTGTCAACATAACATGTAGACAAATGAAAATTCCAAATTGAATAATAAAGTGCATCAGCACAACAAGTAACCTAAAATTCTGTTTAGTTTCTCAACTATGCAAAAATACTTGGTGCCAACCTGATGAGAATTAACATCTGGTTTGTGCCAAGGTTTACGTACAGAATTTTTCTAATCTTGTTTCCATGAGCTTTTATCTTTAAAACCGCATATTATGTTCCAACTAAGGGTTTGTAAAGTATGAAAATTAGATTACAAAACAGAATTACTAACCACACAAAAAATAATGTGTTTAAATAGGTGAACAATAAAACAGTATTTGAATATACTTATGACATTTCTCATCTTAAAAAATCTAATCAAGTCTCAAGTGAATATGAGGAATTGTGTATGACAAGATTAAGGAGCTCAAAGTTTTGGACCAAAATGTGAAGCTATTTCACTGAATTCACCTTTCAAAGATAAATTCTATTTTTTCTTCAGGATTTGGATCAGGAGAAAAATTCATGAAACTGGTAAGATTGTAGCCATTTGAGTTCCAAATCCAAATGTTTCTCAGTTAACTAAAACTAGTTTTTAACTAGTTTACCAGATTATATAAACTACTCAAAAGAGATCTATGGTGTATTATCATTATAAGAAAACCATCAGTAAGGTAAGGTGAAATTAGTACCTGGGTTACAAAGTAACCAGTGGCCTGTGAGGAAATAGGGAATTTATGAGAGAGTAGAACTTTGGAAGCAAGAGAAAAAGTACTTCATAAGCGGGGGTAGTCAGCTAGGTGGAGTACCACTGAGAAGTCCAGAAAAGGAGAACAGACACGTGAATGTTGCATTTGGTGATATGAAAGTCTTCGACTCTGCCAAGAGGGATTTTGGTGAAGTAGCAAGGAATGACATCCTGTAATAATGGATTGATGAGAGACTTGAAAGTCAGAAAGCAGATGTTTCTTTTAGCTATTTTACCATTAAAGAGGAAAGAAAATGACAGAGATGCTAGTTCAGGACATGGAGCCAAGGGAGGGCTTTTCCAAACTGGGGAACTAAAAAAACACATTTTGTAAATTGATTATTGATCCACGAAAGAAGACGGGGGGGGGGGAGGGGGAATGATACTTTAGGAGAGAAAAAGAGGGAGAGGAGAAGGAGAGAGAGAGAGAGAGAGACAATTTTACTACTGAAGATCTTGAAGAGACAAGAGAGGACAGGATTCAGAGCTCAGGAGTAGGAAACAACTCAGTGTAGGCAGTAACCCAGAGGGAGGAACGATGAAAATTAGGATGATGGAGATGAGAGAATTACTGGTGGCTTTATTTTCTCAATGAAATGTGTATGAAGCACCTGAGAGTGAGTTAATCAAATTGATTACACACATAGCATCTCGACAAAAGAAAAAAGAAGCCAATGACTGTTGAAATTAATAGAGTTTTGGAACTGAACAGCCATTAATACAAAAGAAGGCAAAACAGGTATTTGGAGAGTAAATAGCCAGCCCACTGGCTTAAAAAAAAAGATGATAACATGATGTCTGTAAGTTATTTTATTATTTTTTTTAATGTTTTTTATTTATTTCTAGGAGAGAGAGAGACAGCGTGAGCAGGGGAGGGTCAGAGAGAGAGGGAGTCACAGACTGAAACAGGCTCCAGGCTCTGAGCTGGCAGTCAGCACAGAGCCTGACGCGGGGCCCGAACCCACGAACCGCGAGATCATGACCTAAGCGAAAGTCGGACGCTTAACCGACTAAGCCACCCAGGCGCCCCGTCTGTAAGTTATTTTAATACTTCATCATAATGCATTATAATATCTGTGCTGGCCTAAACTTCATTTTAGGGAAGGCAATTACTTGCTCCAATCAAGAAGCCACATCCCAGGCATGGATAGTAGCATTAACCCTGAAAGGCCAGACTCCAGGGCAGCTCCTACAAGTGCTTCCATTATCCATCTGTGGATGAACACTAAAGTATCAGTGTAGTGAATGTCAGAAATGGGCTTTCATTGGTAAAATTAGTGGCTTTTAATCAACATGATGAATATAAGTAACCAGCTGTTATCGATCAAATTCCTAGTATTGAATTTATGCAGATTAGCTAAAATATTTAAAATTATACCCAACTCGTATACCCAATAGAGTATGTTTCTCTTGGGGCACCTGGGTGGCCCAGTCGGTTAAGTGTCAGACTTGGGCTCAGGTCATGATCTCGTGGTTCGTGGGTTCAAGCCCCGCATCAGGCTCTGTTCTGACAGCTAGCTCAGAACCTGGAGCCTATCTTTGGATTCTGTGTCTTCCTCTCTGTCTGACCTTCCCCTGCTCGTGCTATCTCTATCTCTCTCTCAAAAATAAATTTAAAAACACTAATTTAAAAAAAAAAGAGTATATGTTTCTCTTAAGGGCAAAAAAGCCTTTACTCATAGATCTGGTACCACCCTAAGACTGATCTTGAAAACATCCTGCATCAAGCCACAGGGTAGGAGGCATTCTCATTCCTTGGCACCCACTGTAAGGGTAACAGAATCCTTCTGCTGTGTTATTATCACATGTGCCTCCAATAAATTATTCAAGAAAGGAAGATGTAGGAACCCCCTAAGGACAGGGTCTTGAGACTTCATGAAGCTTTCATGGGTTGTATGAATTGGCCTTTGTCTCCTTACCAATACATATTTTTGTAACTATCAGTATATGGCAGAATTTGGACTCTGACTTTTCTTCATTATAATGTAGTTAAAGATGTTGTGAAGGAGTAAACAACCCTTAACAATTCAAATGTGTCAGTGGCTTACACAGATTTTTTTACCAATGTGAACATAAAAGTTAATCAAATTAATTTAGTTCCGTTTACAACAGATGGTATACTAAACTCTTTCTCTAAGATCTGCTACACCAAAAGATTCATCTGGAAAATCCATTTTGGTTCTCTTGCAAACTCTTATCACTTTTTTCTGTATTTCACATTGAAACCCTTTAATTACTAGGAGTTGCCATCAGAGAAGGGGAAAAAGAAACACACACACAACACATATACGAGAGAGACACACAGAGGGAGAGAGATTTACCAGTATGCTCTACTTCTAGTTTATACAAAAGGGACATATTTATTTTTATAACCCTTAAGAAATTATACATAGTTTTAAGTCACTGGTTTAAAAAGAGCTCTTGGGACAGTTGCAGTATAAAGAACTTGATATAATACCATGTAATTAGATAACTGAAAAATAATATTTAGTAGATCAGTGAATGAACAACTTAGCATCTCAGAGGAAAGTCATATTATACATGCACAAATCGGTACAAATAATATACATTGTGTTTTTAGTTTAATTTTACACGATTTTTAATATTGTCTAGTGCTATTTTCTTTCAACCAGCTACTTTCACAAAAGAAAACAAATTACCTTCATAAGAGCAATTATAGTCTAATGTGAACTTTTTACTACTAAATAAAAATGATTAATTGCTTCCCTTCATAATGAATGGAATAAAAACTATACCTGTAATATAAGTTCTACCTAAAACATGACCCTAAGTTAAAGCTTGAGCAAAATTCTAGCTCTCGAGCAAAAATTGACATTGAAGAAGTAGGGATTACTTTCCTAAATGACCTATATGTCTCAAATAAGTTAAAATATGCTATAGCACAGCAAAAGCACTACAACTTATTATTGAGACTCAAAACCCATAAAGCCAATCCTATTCTCACTTAACATCTTTAAATGAGTCCTCATAGCAGAATAAAATCTCAAATCCTTAATATAGCCTATACATCTTGGCATAATCGGACCTCAGCTCACCTCTCAAACCTCATCTCATGTCACCTCCAACCCTCTGCTAATCATTACTCTCCAGAAATGGAGCTTCTGGCCCAGGCCAAGGACCAGCTCCTGGACAAGGCCAAGCTCTTTGCTCTGTGATCCACAACACCTTTCTTTCAGTATTCCTTCAGGTCAGCTCACTTCTCACTCCTGGAGTCTCTATTTAATGTCTTCCCTCACTGACGCTCTCCTCAGGCTGATGTATTTTACATATTAATGTTGCATTCCCATATGCTTTCACAGAACCCTAAATAGTTCCTTCAATGAATTTATCACAATTTGCAGTGGTATAGTGAATCTTACTTCTCCCTGGCAACTTGACTGTCACTTCAAAGAGAGCAAGATCTTGTCTTTTTCTTGTCTTTTCTTTCCCACTGTGGTATCAGCACTAAATACAATGCCTGACATAGTGAAGATATTCAAGAATACTTTTTTTCTGAATGACTAGAGTCCCCATTCTTGGTAAAGGATCTGCCACTTTTTTAGGCTAAAATAAATGTTTGATGTTTTCTGCGCTGTATATTGGTAGAGGCGAAGGTCTGGGATAAATGATAGTTCTGTGGAAATTTTAACCTATTACATACATGTTTTACCAGCAAGCCGACATCACTGAGAATGCAGGCAATAGCGTCTGTATTTTGAAATGAAATCTGGATTTTGAAACAAGAACACCAAATCCTAGTTGATCCTAAATTGTCTTCAACTGTAATTTCTAGTCACCATCACTCTGCATTTTTGCTGAGGAGATTTGATGTGACAGGCAACCACAACAACAAAAAAATAAGGCTTTAAGCAAAAGTGTGTTGTTTTGTGCTTTGTTGCAAATGTTGGATATATTGATTGCTCAGCATCTGTAACCATTCTTCTATAATTAGACCTATATAGTATCTACCATCATCCCCCTTATGAATTATTTGTACTTATCCACTCAATCTTCAACTTTCCTAATTACTCTATATGAAATTCTCCTTTGTTTCAATGGTATAAAAATTCCCAGATTAGCAAAACCAAACAAAATAAAAATACACATGAAAAATCTATCTGGTATTACCTAGGCAAGTAGCTGACTTGACTTTGCTTTTGCACTGGTTTTAATGGCACTGTTATACCACAGGTTATAATGCTAGGATGTCCATTGGTCATATGACATAATAAGCAAAATGTTACACAAATCTGCAGATGATCAGGCCTGTGATGATGAGATCCCCTAAAAGGTTACACGTAAAAAAGCTTAAGAGTTTAAGAGCCTTTTGTAAAAACATTTCACAAAGAAAGAGTTTTTTTTTTTTTTTAATTTTTTAATGTGTTTTATTTATTTCTAGGAGAGAGAGCGAGCGTGAGCAGGGGAGGGTCAGAGAGAGAGGGAGACACAGACTGAAACAGGCTCCAGGCTCTGAGCCGGCAGTCAGCACAGAGCCCGACGCGGGGCTCGAACCCACGAACCGCGAGATCACGACCTAAGCGAAAGTCGGACACTCAACCGACTAAGCCACCCAGGCACCCCAGAAAGAAAGAGTTTTAAGTAGCCTTTAAATACACTGAGTCAGTATTCACAACATGATTCATACCAGCATTCATGGTCATCACATAAGAATTTTCTTGAAGGTGCTAGTACAATGTGGTATCCTGCAACCAAACCAAAGCACTTGAACATTCGAAAGGAAATTTATTTAATCATAATATTCATTTTTCACTTCATTTTAGGAGAGAGAGGAAGATAGGAAGGAAGGAAAGGAAGAGAAAGTTGGACAGATCTTGTAATGAACTAGGAGATTGCTCAAACACATTCCCGAAGCCTACCTTCTGGATACCAAGGCTTTGTGTGAGGAGGCCATTCTTTCTCTTCCTGGCAAAATGACTTGTAATCAGGACAGCAATCAGAATTTTCCCTTTCACAGAATTTATCACAGTAACACACTGCATTTGCCTCATGGAACCGAGTGGCACAGTCATCATCTCTGTCTTCACAACAACCAAAACTTCTACAGTATTGTCCTTTGAAAGTGGATCTTTTGAATCGAGAACTTTCCAAAATGGTGTGATTCCTATTGAAATTGGTTCCTTCTGTTTGAGATAAATACTGTTTCTCCATCCAAATTTCTGTGATAAGATAGGAAAAGATTAAGATCTTATATCCGATCCACATTCTCTAGAGGTCAGGTAGGGCTCCCACTTTCTATTAGATCCAATACTCTTGGCTTGGGGCTTCTCTGTGGAACCTGAATTCTAATTATCAAGACAACTCAGCCTGAATCCTGAAATGGATCCTTTACTTGAACTGAGTATTCTTCGTGTAGTTAAACATTAAACAAGAATTTCAATGTTTAGCCAAGATAATGTGAGTGTTAAAAATAGATCCTTGTCATTCCTTCAAAGTTAAAAATGTATAATATTTCATATGACACAAAAAATATTCACCACCATAAAAATAAATACATAAAATCTTATCATAGATGAAATACATCAAATATTGCTTGTCTTCAAAAAAAAAATCTAGATTCTTAAATCAGAAACCTCTCTGGAATACACATGGCCCAAATTATAGCTTCAATAACCACTGGCAAGGTGTAGGAAATTGGAAAGTCAAAAACACAATTATTCATTTCACCTACTTGCGCTGCAGCTGAAATCCAGGCTTTCATGAGGTTGCCTGCTAGGATCTGTCATATCAGTAACAGTTGCTCTAAATCATGCCCAGTCACACACTGGCTTGATTTCCCATCTGTAGCCCATTTACCTACCAGAAGCATTTTGATTTCAAGGCTTAGTGGAGCCTAATTCAGCTAGAAATTCCCTGAGGGTGATCTTAGGTCTTTCCACCCAGGTCTCTACTTGGCGCTGGTGTAGGAACCTGCAGTATCTGGAAGGCATTTTGCAGTCAAGAAAAGTCAATCTCTGTGCTAAAAAAAAAAAACAAAAAACAAAAACAAAAAAAAAAACTGCCAGGGGGAGGGTGTCATGAAGGAAACCCAAAGGTCAAGATGTATTTAGTGTTTCTGTAGAGGTGTGCATTTACAGTGGGTTTTGTTTTGTGTTTATTCATTAACTACAATAGCTCCTTTTGGATTTGGGATAAGTAACCAGTGGACGATGATTCAGCATAAGTGGCTGGATGGCCTAGCAGACAGGACTTGTCTTGACAAGCAGGAAACCTGGACTCTGGTCCCTGGCTATTGTTTAATTGGCTTTATGACTTTAGGTTCACAATTTCCTTCTCTGGTCCTCCTTTATTTTCCTATAAAACAAGAGTCATCTCCCAGGCTAATTCATAATTCCAACCCCTCAGACTTGTTCCTTGACTTTGTCCCATAAATTATCCAATTCAAATGTCATTCATTCACATTTTCTTGCCCCTTCCTCTCTGGCTATAAACTAGTGTAAGTCCCTTTATCGTTTTTGCTTCTAATTTACATGGTATTGGCATCACTCTCCATAATCACTGACTCTCCTATTCCAAAATGATAAGTAGAAATTTCCTTACCATTCACTGAGTGCCCAAACTACAGCAAAGTGCTGTCAACATCCTCACCATGTATGACCAATGATCCCCTCACCTCCAATTCCCAAATATCTGTGTCCATCGTTAGCATACATGAATCTTCTGTAGCATTTAGCACTGTATTACAGACTGGAGCCTAAGAGACTAATAATGGAGTTCAAGATCTTTACCCCTTGCTCATCTTTTTCCAATGATCGCACTACCCTTGCCATTCTTCAACATGTGAGGCATACACCTATCTTGGGATTTCTGCACTTGGGTTTCTCTCTGCCTGAAACATGCTTTGCAGATATCCATATGGCACAATTGTTCACCTCTTTCAAATTTTTCTTTTGCAAATGACACATTTTCAGACAAACCTTGCCCACACTGTCCATCCAAAATGACACTTTCTTGGGGTGCCTGGGTGGCTCAGTTGGTTAAGCGACTTTCTTGGCACCCTACTTTCCTCACTCCTTGGAAGAATTATCTCTGTTATCTACATAGCCCCCCTCTTAAGGCAAGACTAGGAGTTTCATAATCAGAAGAGATGCACAGTGGCTCCTTAACTTTTTCTTTATAGCATATGGTTAAATACTGTAGTTTACCACTGTCTGGTGAGTCTATCTACCAGAACTATAATATCTTGCTTTTACCAATCCGTCTTCTCTGTGTTGACAAAGGCCTTAAAATATCTCTGCAAAGTAACTTCACACTAAAGGAACATATTTGACACAAGTTCTATTACCAATGTATTCCTTTAGACCAATGGTTCCAACAGGGGTCACTTTGCATCCCAGGAGAAGTTTAATAGTATCTGAAAATAGTTTCTACTGCCCTGACTGAGGAGGTTCCACAAGCATCCAATGGGTAGAGGCTAGGGATGTGCTAAACATCCTAGAAAGCACAGGGCTAAACCCCCAACAAAGAATTATCTGACCAAAACCACCAATAAGGACACCATGGATAAACACTGATTTATACATTTTGTTGCAGGACTTTTTACGCCAATACCCAGGATTCACTGTCTCACCACTTTGAAGAATGAAGAGATGGACACAAAATTAGCAGCAAGCAAAAGTTTTTAGAATATAAGATCAGGAAGTAAGAATAGTTTGAAAGTTCTTTATAGAAAGGGGGCATTTGATGGTGAATACCTATGATTATAGGCAAGGGCTTTTGTTTCCTAAGGTTCTGGTCAACCCACCCCCAACCCCAGCCCTTCCCCCTCGTTCCTTCTCAGGTTCTACCTTTACTGGCTGGATAGCTCCAGGTGCTGGGTTGTCTATTCCTGATTGGCTCAACTCCACTGTGTGAGGAGTCAGCCTGGTCATACTGTCCCTTGTATAACATAAGTTTTATGGTTTACTTTTTTTAGTTAGGCATTGTGAGTGTCAATTCCTGAAGGGAACCTGAGGGGAAGTAGGTGGTGTCTGTTACACACTTAAGAGGGACTTTATGCCTAAGGGGATTTGTTTTGGTCAGATACTCCCAGCATTGTTCCAAAAATGGTGATTTTCCTCACCCAGGTTCCTCAGGTCCTATATAACCATTCCCTCTCTGCCTGCTGAATCCTATAAATTCCTATCAAAATATTACAACAATTTTTTAAAGAACAGGAAATCAGAAAAAATAAAATTGTTATGTTTACTTGCAATTTGGATTGATATAAATGTTGATCATTTGGACCTCAAATAAATGGTCACTTTGAGACAACAGCTAGTGTGGTTATATATATATAAATACACACACACACACACACACACACACATACTCTAGAGGTGTTATTTCAAAAATTTTGGGTTCAGTGTGTGTGTATATAGAAAGGGTAGAATTCACCATGTCACATCCTCTTCCAACTTGACCATTATCCTTGGATGAGTTATATGTTAGATAAGAAAAGTGCCACATTCCCTATTCCTGTGATATTTTATAACCTCCATTGCACAAAGGAGACTGAGTGTCAGACTTGATTTCGACTCAGGTCATGATCTCAGCGTCATGGGATAGAGCCGTACTTCAGGCTCTGTGCTGAGCATGGAGCCTGAGTAAGATATTCTCTCTCTTTGTCTCTCTCTCTCTCTCTCACACACACACACACTCTCTCTCTCTCATCTCTCTCCCTCTCTCTGCCCTCACTCCCATTCACATTGTAAAATATAAAAATTTAAAAAAACTGATGTAAAGATAATCATTATAACTGCTGCCGTTATGGATGGTTGCAAGGATCAAAGAAATAGTGTACATACACTAACACATAATATGCATTGCTCCATCCATTCTTTCTGTCTAAATGTTCACCTTGTCTAAAGCCTGGCCTTAGCCATGACCTGGATCATCTTCTACATCCCTTTTAACCAAGTGATTTCTGAAGTGGAGAAAGTATTAGGGGGGTAAAGATCCAGGAAAGGATCATAGCGATTTTCACTGATTGAATGTCCTTTGTTAAAACACTCAAGTGAAACTCCCCTCTTCTGTAAAAGTTACCTGTTAATGCAGATCTGATCTCTGATGATACATTACTGAGAACACCAAAAAGAATGAAAGGCTTAGCAGACCCATGAAACAGAGAAGAAGATCTTGCCGTAGGCCTCCAACTGACCGTGCTTCAGGACTTTGGGCCCAGGTCCAGGATTTAGAAATTTTGCTCAAAACCTTCCAACCTTTTACAATAATTAAACAGGCTTACTTTCCTCTTTTTACTTTTTGAAAAACAGAGATTTCAACATCAATTTCCATTTTTTTAAATTTTCAAACATAGAATTGCATTTGCAGATTAAGATACCTAGAGAGGCTATTTGACTTAGACCATCAGGCACAAAAGGAAACCTTGATGAGCCAGGAGGATGTGTCCATTTGAGCCTGGTAGAATTCAATCCTTCCAGGTAGAATTAGGAAAGATAATACTGACGAAATGACATTTCATGGCAGTCTTAAAGAGCCAAGTAGGGATATTTGTCATGTAAAGCAGACAGATAATTCTAGACTGAGAAACAGAAAACACATGATATATTTGAAAATCTGGCAGGGGTTAGATTATTTTTGACCTTGAATGACAAGAATATACTAAGCATAGACTTTAAAAATGAAAAGGGTTAGGAATCAGTTTTTATTTGTTAAGTAACAGCATAAATTTTCCTTTGGGGATCTGCTCTTCTCCCATTTCATATAGTCCTGGCAAAACCATCAGTCACTGATCTTCACCTTCACTACCTCCTAGAGGTATCCTGTGATGTAAGCTGAGCCAGTCACAGTCTCCTAAGAATTTGAATTTTGAGTGGAGTGGCGATATATAGACCAGATGGAGCTGAGTCATTCAGATACTGAGACTCCCCAAACTGCCCATGAATTACTAACCAAGATCCCTGATCAGTTTTTCCTTAATTTTTGTGAATATCAATATCCTTCAAAAATGCTTTTAGGGGAACTTTAAACTAACAAGTCAGTGTCTGACACTTGTAAGTAAAGAATCCTTCTGGTAGGAAGTTATTACAGATCCATAACAAGACAAAGATATGGCCAGGATACCATTTTTGGTAGGTAGTTATGTCAGAATAGAAGTTAGATTGGATGAGGGGGAGATTGAAAACTGGGAGATTAGTCTGGAAACTACCGTAGTCATCTAGGCAAAAGATGATGGGAACTTCCCCTTGAGAAATGGTTCTGAA